CGCGAAAAGTTGGGGTAGGCAGGTGTACCTTCGAATACAACTGTGGATACACCGAGCATAAGAGGAGCATAAACGACGTAGGTGTGACCGGTAATCCAGCCGACGTCACCACCACAGAAGTATCTATCGCCCTCATGGATGTCAAAGACATACTTGCCGGTCATAGCAGCGCCGAGGAGGTACCCGGCGGTTGTATGCAGGACACCCTTGGGCTTGCCAGTGGAGCCGGAGGTATAAAGGAGGAATAGAGGGTCCTCAGAAGCGACAGGCTCAGGAGGGAAATAGTTGGGCCACTTCTCAACCTCCTCATGCCACCAGAAGTCACGGCCGCTGGTCCAGGGAATTTCCGAGCCAGTACGCTTGTAGACAAGGACATTCTCAACTGCAGGGCACTGCTTGAGAGCGTCATCAACAATTTTCTTTGTGCCAATCAACTTGCCACCTCGCTTGCCTTCATCAGTTGTGATGACAACCTTACAGCCGGCGTCGACAACACGGTCGCGGAGAGAGTCGGAAGAGAAACCAGCAAAGATAACGGAGTGCACGGCACCAATACGGACACAGGCCATGAGAGCGATGATAGCCTCGGGAATCATGGGAAGGTAGATAGCGACGGTGTCGCCCTTGCGGACACCCATCTGCTTGAGAACCCAGGCGGTGCGAGAGACCTCTCGGAGGAGCTCTCCGTAAGTGACATTGCGACCCTCGGTGGGCTCGTCGGCCTCATAAATGATGGCAACACGATCAGGGTCCTTGAAAGCATGACGGTCGACACAGTTGTATGAGGCATTCAGGCGACCCTCGTTGAAGTAGGAGACATCGGCATTGAGAAGAGAACCGCTTCGGGTGGTCTGGAAGTCGCGATCCCAAGAGATGAGCTCGCGTGCGCGCTCAGCCCAGAACTTCTCAGGTTGAGTGATGGACTCCTTGTAAAGTCGCTTGTACTCTTCGAGGTCTATGAGAGTGGGTCAGCTCATGTTGAGGCTCCGGTGCGGAAGCCGGGATCACTTACTGGCAAGGTGGGGCCGGTGGGGATGCTCTGCCGGGTTGCAAGGTTAGTATGAGCCAGGGAAACGGAGCACGATGGAGTCAAGAATAAGCAAAGAACCACACAGCAGGGTCTAGCGGGAGACACTGCGGCGAGTAATTTCGCCTCAACAGAAAACAAAGGGGCGCAATTGACTTACTAGCAAACATGCGCTGCGGAGGGTCTAAGCTGAAGGTTAGCGATGGCTCCAGCGACAGGTCAAGTTGGCTGCGCAAACTTACGATAGGTATCAACGAGGTGAGCCTCAGCGACTACAGGAGCCTTTGTCTCTTGAACGGGTGCGGGAGTCTCCTCAGCTCTCAACGAGACAGTTTCGGTGGCTGCAGGAGCGGGAACGGGAGATGCGACGGCGGCTGGGATAGCACTCTTGGGGAGAGACTCGGGAGCCGAAGCCCTGAGCTCCTGGGGCACTTGGGGTTGCTCGACGGCGGTTGCCATTGTGCTCTGTTGCTGGGGTTTATTTGAGAATTATTTTTTTCGTTGAGCGTTGCGCCTGTATGTGCAACGTTGATGGCGGGGTAGCGTGACCGTGGAGCTTGTCAGAACTGCTTGTACTTGCAGGACTTACAGCTTTCGGTGTTGCTGTTCTATGGAGATACAGACGTCGTGCAATTGAGCTGTAAAGATTTGGATTGGAGGAGGAGGAGGAGAGGTTGGAGAAGGCAATGAAGAGTAAAGTAGAGAGGAAGTGTTTAGTTGGATCTAGAGTAGGGGGAGGAGCTGGAGAAATAGTTGAGACAGATCCAGAGGTTTGATGAGGTCCGGCTTGCGGGGGGAGCTTTCTTTATGGCAAATGGGTCCATCATCATTGGAAGGCCCGGCCGGCCGTTGCGACTTGTCACTGGTACCTGCACCAACTGGGATCAGTCTCTGTGGTGTTGGCACCAAACCCGAGCTGCGGCCGGCGAACCGGGGGGGTCTTGCCGTGATCCTTTCCCCCGAGCCACCTCAAGTCCCGAATAGCCAGTAGCGATTTAGAGACTCACGTTCGCTAGCACCTAATTTTGTACATGCAGCCTGAAAGCATGATGGTCGTTATTGATCGTCACCAAAGATTCACATTAGAATTCTCGGCATTCAGAGTGGCCAAAATACTAAGCACGGCATCTGCCCGTCAGCAATGTGAGCCTAGGACATAAGATGCGACTTGACGTCGGCATTACACAAATGCCAATGTGATATACATACAAGGGCTTGTGGATGTGACCGCTACATTTGAGAACCCTTCTGCCGCGCCATGTATCCTATTATTCTCCCTGCCATTCATCCATATCAGACCGCATCGGTTCTATCCCGAAGCCCTACGCCCGAGAAAGAATGCATTGTTGGTTTCGTTCGCTTTTCTGCTTTGTATTCCTTATAACACAATGGCCTGAATGCTACCATCTATCTACTTTATAGTCACGCTTTCTGGCCTATACTGGTTTTTCTTTCATTTTCTATTGAAAACATATGATAGAAAAAGTTCACTTCGACTTTGGTGAATGATACATGCCGTAATTACGCAGCACTGCTTCCGATAAAAAGGACAGCCGCATCATTCATGCTTCTATAGGATGTTACCTACCTAGGTAGGTAAATAGCCATAATCATTGACATACCGCGCTCTGCTATTAATTATGAATTAAGTTAAGAGAGTTATGCCCAAGATAATAGGTAATGAGATACTAGTTTCTACTACCATGATATTTTCTCAGCTCTCAACATCAGAGACTCATGCTACATGGTAACATGACTTCGAATTTGATATCGTCGACGATGCATTGGGATACCCACCTATCAATAATTGGCATCATCAAATCCCTGTACTAGATAGCTTGCCGAACTATCTGCGGTAGCCGGATAGACCAATGCTTCAGGGTCAGCAGAAGATTGTTTCTTAAACAGAAACGGTGATGTCAGCCAGCAGACAGACAGTCAAAGCATGCACAATTAGGTGCTACCACCAGAGTAACATCCCGGCTCTATGATTGAGATATTACAAGACATTACTTGGGAAATGATTGAACAGCCTTGGGAAGAGATGCATCCACCTCAGGGAGCCAAAAAAACTTTAGACCCCAAGTCTAGGCATCAAAATCTATTAGTCTAAAGGTGAGTTAAGCCTCACCTAAGTTTTCTTGACTGTCCTTGATCCAATATGGCGGAGCCGCTATGGGGCCGCACACAGAGGAGTACTGAGTACTGATAGCCAAAACGTGTTATGTGATTGATCGTAGTCACGAAGGAGGTGGAGTTTTGGGAGGCCGGCAATATAGTGGAACCGGTCAAGGCGTTGCATTTCGCCAATGCAGGACAACATTGACCTTGTCTGTCGACAGCGAGCCGAGATCGCTCTCACGATGAATGCCCTGTTCGGAGGAATCGATGCCCTGGGTCTCAACTGGCGACACTTTCAGCAGTAATATCTGCAACAGGATATATGGCGTATTTCCTTATCTACTGGCTGTGGTCTTATTGCCGTGCCGTTTCGAGGCAATCGGTTTTAATGGGCTTCGATTTGACCCCACATTGTTGCAGCGTGGCAGCTGCAGATGCCCCTCCCACGCCCCCCCCGCATTTGGGGTCAAGATTTGTACAACTTGATTGGTCTATCTCAGACTCCGACTTCGCCTTCATGGCTAATTATTCAGGGGTCTCATCCCCTGTGAGTTCTTCCATCTCAACAAAGTTGAGTTTGTTAGGACATTTCCGTTTTTCTTCTGCGGGTCTTTGTAGAGAATACTGCATGTACTCTATACTTGCTTCTTTTGGAGAAAATATCTACATATTTCTGATGCTGTACTTTTGCTGCGGTATTGGATATTGTGTGTCAAAGTAACTCTAACATAGATTTGAAGACGAGGACATTGTTCTACGTACTACTACATTTATCAACATGCGTATGACAGGTGTCTCGAAGATCACCAAAGCAATTTCGTAGATTCTGTAACGAAATAGAAAGGCTAAAGTGATTCTCCTTGTCGCCGCTAGCTTCCCGCAAGATCGCCCATCATGATGACCGTCCCCAATTGGTATCGCCATGTCAATCTTCCAAAGTCAATCCCTGTCCCCATGTTGATCTGTGCCCCAACGGTCGGTTCAACATGCATCTCATAGCCGAAGCCACGGAATCCCCAAGATTGTGGCTTCACCTGCCATTCCAGCCACGCTTTAGATCTAAAATGTTGCTGGCCGTATCTTCGGGACTCGACCGAGACATTGTCATAAAGTGATGCAATCAGCGAATGGAAACTGTCCGTTTGCCATGACCGCACTCGTTAGAAAGACAGTTCACGCACACACTACGGAGGTCAGATCTGGCTCCTCTCATCCAGCCGGTCTTCTTCATGAGTTCCCGCGGTTATTCTCAGTGGTGAAGGCGCCATCACACAGTAAACTTTTGTGGTTTCACTAAAGTTACTGAGTAGAATACCGACTACTCCCATATTCGAGATAAACTAGCGGACTTGGGTTTTAGAGATCTTTTCTCAGGTATCTCTATATAAGACTACCTTAACAACGGACTTATTAGCCTGGCAAGTTTGTCAATATCAGTGATGCTCTCCAACATGCAGAAACTACCATAGCCAATGGTACTCCTTCCATTTCTCCATGCGTTCTAGCCAGGCACACGGTATCCAAACAAGGTTCCGTTTCCCCATCCTCATCCCCCACTTCATCATGACTCTCTGTATCGGGTCTGGGGCTCCACTGCATGTTTCTATGGTAAGGTATCTCAAGTTTGACGCCCAACGGGGCCCGTCCGTGTGCACTCTTAGAGCCAACTTCTCTTGCTCAGGACTTCGCAATATGAACATGACACTGTTTTGCCAGCTTATGACATGCAGCACATTACAAGAGTTATAACTGGTAGTTGAGATAGAGTGAAGCATCGACACGCACGTATCGTCGAGTTCTGTAGATTCTGCTACATCAACCTTCCTAAAACGCCAAATATACTCTAGTACAATTACATATCCATACTCATCAAATACATCTCGACAATTCTCATGAACTTCGCCACGAAAGCCTCGAGATGGAATATAACTTTGGTTCCGGTCTTGATGCGATGCTCATAGAAAGCCGCCCACTGGATGACCTCGCCTTTCAACCCGTCGTCAATGAGGGCAATCAGCTTGAACGCCAAGGTCTTGAGGATAGTAGTGGGGGGAATGCAGTGTGTCAAGAGATCGTAAAGCTTGGACCGCACCTGCAGGATCCTGGCTGGCGAGTGTTCTTCCAGGATCTCCTTTGCGATCTGGCCGATAAGGGCTTCCCAATCTGCCGGTGGGATGACTGTGTTATCAGTGACTTTCTCACTATCAACTAGGTTAGCTTTTGCTTCACGCCACCACCATGAGTGAGTTTCACTAGGGAAAACGTACTTTTGTGCATGAACGGCTTCGTACATCAGGAGAGCTCGTCGAAGGTTTCGCCCACTCTCCTCCGCTATTCGCTTGTGAAGACCCTCCACAACGGGCCAACCCTCTTTCTTCGCCGATACTGCTAGCACATCACATATTTCCTCGTGCGTTGGGGCCGCTACTCTGACAAGTAGAGTTCTTGAGCGAATCGGTGCAATAATATTGGCAGTCGAATTCGCCAAGAGAATTAATCGTAGGTTGGGCGAGTACTTTTCCATCGTTCGTCGCAGAGCTGCTTGTGCATCTCTCGTCAGGTGATCCGCTTCGTTGATAACCACGACTTTGAACTTTTGCTTCGCTGATTGATCCACTTGTTGCGTTTGTGCAACCTCTTTAAGAAGGTCCTGAACAACAACTCTGTCGTAGTTTCCAACGTCGGACGGTGTGATTTCGAGGTGATAGACGGAGGCGACAATGTTGAACTCGAGCTTTCGATTGCTAGTCGTCTGGAATACTCGAGCATCGATTTTGATCTTCTCCACACCTGGTCCATAGAGCTCCTTCAGCGTAGCGACGATTCGGGTTTTCTTTCCAGCACCTGAAGGCCCGTACACAAGTAGGTGAGGAAAGTCACCGCTCTGGGCCTGAGAGTGATACTAGTCAACAATGTTGCTCAACCAGGAGGTTCATTGACTTACAAGAGAGCGAAGACGATCTGACAACTCATTGTGATATGTGAGGGTCTCGAGAGACCGAGGTCGGTGCTTGTCAACAATAAGTGCCATCGTGGAAGCTGCTTGGTCTGGAGGTGAGAATTGTGTCGAGACAGCTTTTTGGGAAATGGTGGAAGACGCGTCGTCGCGTAAAGTGGCAGAGTGGATGATGCCTTGAAAATGAAGTGGTCCGTGCACAGTATCCAACTGTGACAACCGTTCAGCAGGCAACGAGTGATATGATTAGGTAGTAGGTAGGTATTGCACGAATTATAATGCTTTCAACAAGGAAAAGTATTTATGGTCACTAAGAAAAGATGAACTTTATCTTAGGTTCTACGCCGTTGTAAGACATTGAACATGGATCTCATTTTGTTTATTTTTAGAATTAGTAGATCTAGAGTTTGGTATTTATACAAGTTACAACAACAGATCTACACCTCTATAATGTACATGGCATTGTCTCATCAGTCCAAGTCCCTAGGGGTTGCGGGAAGCCTCAGAAGTGCTCCCGACCAGAGTCTCAGTTGTAGGCGAGGAAGCCTCCAGTAGTTCAACGGGAGCAATGTGTCGTCGAGGTCTTTTCAACTCTTCAAGAGTCACGCCGTCCAACTTGGTGATTCCAACCATGGGAGGCTCTCCCTTCTTAACAAACTCCCATTGACCTGCGATTGTGATTAGTTTTACTCAATGAACAAGGTTGTAGGATATTCACCAGGCAGCTTGTTGCCAGCCAAACGGAAAGCATCTCTCACAACTTGCTCGTGAAGTCGTCCTCGGATTTCGAACAGAATCTGGCTAACAGCCATTCGGGTTGCCCAGTGATCGAATGAACCTTTACCCTTACCCATACGCATCTGTAACTCTATAAGCCGATGTTCCACCCAACTCCGGGAAGGCCATTCTTACATCGTTACCGCTGACATATACACCAACGTTACAGTTCTTTCGCTTATACAATCGGTATTTTTGACCTCGAAGTCGCACTTTAATGGTGTCCTCGGCCATCTTTAATTGCTTGGCGCTGATTCTTCGATGGTGATCCGTCATTCGCAAACCATAGTCGCCCCAAATCACTGTCGTACCCTTGGTCGAACCACCTGTAGCGACACGAGGTCGTCCCTTTGCCATCTTCTTCTTTCGGTTCAGGTTTGGCTCAAGCCAGTTGCCCAACATTGATGGGCTCGTCGAAAAGGCTCGGACATTTTGAGGTCGTCGAATCGCATCAAGGGTCGTCAAAGACTGCTGAAGAGGGGTGTGAAGTTGTCGCAGAGGCGAAGAGGCACACAAGCTCAACCTCTGGAAGGCATTGTGCAATGCCGATGTGTTAGCGAGCTTCATGGCGGCGACCGGAGTTGACTTGAAGCTGTCTCCGTTGGCTCCAGAAAATCTTCCCGATGCCGAAGATGAGCTGATATTGAGGCCTGGATTTCAAGGCCCGCAACCAGGAACCACTTTAGCTCGTAGTCACGGACCTCGCGTCAGCTTCGCGTTCGATAGGAGCTACCGTGCACGTCACTAGACTCGGACTTCTACCTAGGCTGCTCCTTGATTGCCTGGGATTCACGTTACCAATCCTCACGCAGGCAACATTGGCGCATGCCATTAAAAAGGTCGATGCACTTCTTCAGTCACAAGTAAAAGAAGAATAAGAAAAAGCGAGATTGCCAAAAATGCCTTCTGATATCCGGTCTTTCTTTGGGCCCAAGGGTGGTAGCGCCCCAAAACCTGCCCCAAGAAAAGCTGAGGAGCTGGCCAAGAGCAAGCGTACAAGTAAGCTAAACAATTCTACTCTTGGACCAAGAACGGTATTAATATAAGTTAAGAGGGAAGAAAGGTCGTCAAAGATAGCGACGATGACGAAGATGAAGCAGTAGAGTGAGTTGGTTTCCTTCCACATGTTATTACAACCAAGCTGATCCCAAGCAGAGTGCAAAAGCCTACCACTAAATCCGCCCCAAAGAGAAAAGCCAAGTTTGTTTTTGACTTCTGTCTTGTCAATTGCCTTCTAATTTATTTTTTACAGGGACGAGGAAACCAAAGGCGTGGCTATTTCTGCTGATGATTACTTCGCTTCCACAAAGAACAGCAAGCCTTCAACTTCAGCAACACCCAAAAAACCTGCTGCAAGGCCTGATATTCCCGTTCGATCAAGTCCCCGAGGAAAGCCTACTGCTTCGAAGCCCGCAGCAACAGCGAAGAATGACAAAGCTCCCGCCACACGAAAATCAACAACTTCTTACTCACGCCACAATGCCGATCAGGATTCTGATGCTTACATGGATGACGGAGACGAAGACGACGAAGATATCTTTGCAGCCGATGCCAAGGGCGGAAGTAAGCGCAAGAATGACGACTACGAGGAGGACGAATCCGAGGATGAGGAACTTCCGAAGCCAAAGCGAATAGCGACCAGAGGCCGCAAATCCGCCGTCAAGAACGAAGGGAAGGAGGAAGAAGCCAAGCCTGCAGCAAAAGGCAGAAAGCGAAAATCTTTATCAGAAGACTCAGAAGAGTCCGAAGAAGAGGCTCCACGCAAGAAAGCGGCTACAACCAAAGCTAAAGCTTCAGCCAAACCTCGGGCTTCAAGAAAGAAGAATGACGAGCCTGAGGATGAAGAGATCAAGGATATTCTTGACAATGTTACTACCGTTCGTGCCCCTACACCACCACCCAAGGATGACAATGCCAAGTTCGATTGGCGAAAGAACGCGTTCGGAGGCGGTAATGCATCTGCTCAGCCAGCTGCCGGTGCAGCTATTCTCCCTGAAGGTGCGGATGAATGCTTGACTGGTCTTAGTTTCGTCTTCACGGGTGTTTTGCAGACCATCAGTCGTGATGAGGGGCAAGCTCTTGTGAAGAGGTATGGTGGTAAAGTTGTTGGCCAACCGAGCAGCAAGACAAGCTTTGTGGTTTTGGGAGAAGACGCTGGACCCAGTAAGCTGGCAAAGATTAAGTCTATCGGCATCAAGACAATTGACGAGAACGGGCTTTTCGAATTGATCCGCAAACTTCCTGCATTTGGAGGTGGCGGCAAAGGAGCCCAAAAGGCCCAGGAGAAGAAAAAGGCCGAAGAAGACAAAGTCAAGAAACAAGTTGCAGAGATGGAGGCCGAAGAGAAGGCTCGAAAGGCAGAGGCTGCGAAGGCCGCCAAAAAAGCGGCTGCTGCTGGAGGTCCTCCTGTGAGGGCCGCTGCGGCACCCCCTGTTCAGTTACTGACTTCAAAGTACGCACCAACACAGCTCGGCCATATTTGTGGCAATAAGGCTCAAGTCGAAAAGATCCAAAACTGGCTCAGAAACTGGCCAAAACACAAGAAATACAATTTTCAAAGAAGGGGTGCTGACGGGATGGGTGGCGAGCGCGCCATCATCATCTCTGGACCCCCTGGAATCGGCAAGACAACGGCTGCTCACCTAGCTGCGAAGCTGGAGGGCTATGATGTTTTGGAGAGCAACGCAAGCGATACTCGAAGCAAGAAGCTCGTCGAAAATGGAGTGAGCGATGTGATGAACAACACGTCGCTTCTCGGATATTTTGCTGGCGATGGCAAAGATGTGGATGCAACCAAGAAGAAGATTGTTCTCATCATGGATGAGGTTGACGGTATGTCTGCGGGCGATCGAGGCGGTGTCGGTGCTTTAGCAAAGTTCTGCAAAAAGACACAGGTTCCCCTGATACTCATCTGTAACGAGCGAAGGCTGCCCAAGATGAAGCCTTTTGACCATGCAGCTTTTGACATCCGATTCAATCGCCCAACTGTAGATCAAGTTCGATCTCGCGTCATGACTATTTGCCACAGAGAAGGGCTCAAGCTTCCTGTTTCTGTGGTAGATGCTCTTATCGAGGGAAGCAACAAGGATATTCGACAGATCATCAATATGATTTCCACGGCAAAATTAGACCAGACAAGTATGGACTTCGACCAGAGCAAGGCCATGTCTAAGGCTTGGGAAAAGCACGTCATCCTTAAGCCATGGGACATCTGCCAAAAGATGCTGGCAGGTGGATTGTTCACCCCTGCAAGCAAATCAACACTCAATGATAAGATTGAGCTCTATTTCAACGACCACGAGTTTAGCTATCTTATGATACAAGAGAACTATCTCCGAACAAAACCCATGGCGCTAAATGGAAAGGGGTATAACCAACGCGAGCTCAAGCTCAAAGCTCTTGAACTGTTCGATAATGCAGCAGAGAGCATCAGCGACGGAGACCTTGTCGATCGCATGATCCACGGACCTCAGCAACAATGGAGCCTGATGCCCACACATGCTGTGTTTAGTACGGTCCGCCCCGCCAGCTTTATAGCAGGCCAGCTCATGGGCTCTAACTTCACGTCGTGGTTGGGCAATAATAGCAAGTACGGAAGGTTGGGTAGGTCGATTCGAGAGGTTCACTCTCACATGCGCCTCAAATCTTCTGGCGATCATAACGAGATTCGCCAGCAGTACCTTCCTATCCTTTGGACGCAGCTTGTAGATCGTCTACAGAAGCAGGGCAACGAGGCAGTACCAGAGGTCATTGATCTGATGGACAGTTACTACTTGACTCGTGACGATTTCGATGCTGTCCAGGAACTCGGTGTTGGGCCGATGGACGAGGAACACGTCAAGATTGAGTCCAAGACCAAAGCTGCTTTCACCCGAACGTAGGTTGACCATTTACCCATGCTCCGATATGTAACTAACAAGCTCTCTAGATACAATGCAATGAGCCACCCAGTTCCCTTCATGAAGGCCAGCAATGTCGTCGCTCCCAGGGCTCAGCCCAAGGAGGTTCCTGATCTTGAGGAAGCTGTCGAAGATGATGATGCCGAGGCAGTCGAGGCACCCGAAGTTGATGAAGAAGAAGAAGAAATCGATTTCAAGAAGGACAAGTATATCAAGAAACCGAAAGCCAAGAAGGTCACCAAGAAGGCGGCCAAGGCTGCTGGCGACGACGAAGAAGAGGACGAGGACAAACCTAAGCGAGGTCGAACCAAGGCCAAGGCTACTGGTGCCAAGGCTAAGGGGAAGAAGTAAACGACGGCCGAGTTATTGCATGGCATTAAGTGTAACAGATAATATTCAGATGTGGTTCATCGTAAGTAAGCTAGAGGCATGTCACATTCAGTTAGTGTTTAGTATGGACGCGAGATCGGGCAAATGGAGTCAACGGTAACGAGTCAGCCCTCGCTGTAATATAGATTTCTAGTAATAACTAAGAAATGGGGTTGAGACACTCTGATAAATAGTAGCCATACTTTGATCTTTGAATAGACTCTGAAGCCCCTGGAACTTGGTCAAACGAAGTTATTGCCAGCTGCATTGCCCCAAGCAACACTGTTCATTGTGAAAGGGCATTATCGTATAATCAACCTAAAAATCTCTAGTACTTGTATGCCATATATTGTCTTCATTTGGGCCATGGAGCTGCATGTCTGTGTGAGTGTAGGAGATGAGATCGACCCTGTTGCCACTGGCAGTGGCACTGAAGCTGCCAGTGCGAACCGCCCATGATTCTATTCCCAATTTACTTGCCAGTTGCTGCCAGCTGCCAGGTACAATAGCAGTGGCAGTGGCAGCTACCTTAGAATGATTCATGCTCATGTTTCTAAACAAGCGCTTCCAGCCCCGTTATATATATATCTTCTGTTCCCTCCATCTGTTTTCTTCTTTCTCTTCTCTCCATCACACTCAACTTCTTCACCCTCACTCAATTTCATAACATCATCTCAACAGTCTAACATCAACACTGCATCTCACTAGAGTGACCAAGTCTTTTTAACCCACCTGCCTTTTTATCATCATCTTCATCTACTGCATTTGCCCGAAATATCCTTCACGATGCAGGGCTCAGCATCCTATCCTGCTGCCCTCGGGAGCAGCAAATGGATCGCGAGCTTCCTAGCTAGGAACCGATATGACGATGGCATCTACGTCCGTACTTCTACCAGTGAGTCGATACCAATATGCTGTCTTCCGTCATGTCGAGAGCATCATACTGATATCATATTAGGAGCTTCTTCGCCGCAAGAAGTCAAATTCCGTGATTTTGTCAAGAAGAGTAAAGCAGAGTTGAGAAGTGAGTTTCTCAGCCATCGCGAAAGCATAACAGGAATATTCTAGATCATATACTGACTGGCATTTCAAGATGTATTCTCTGCGAATGAAAAGAAAAGGTCCGAGGCGGGAGTCGATGGTATGGAACTGAATACTTTGTTTACCTATTTGCCTCAACTGACCTTTGCTCTTCCAGAACTACGCAACGCAAACGAAGCCAGCCCAGAACGGAAGAACAACAAACTATCCTGGGGAAAACTGTTCGACACAAAGTCAGGAAACAAGCTTCATAAGCGGGCAAAGTCCGCTCCGAGTAACAACCATGTCCCACATCAGCTTGATCCCATCACTGAAGCCGGTGAAAGTAGCGAGACACAAGCCAATCTCGTATCTGCCAACACTTCATCACGAAGGCCTGTTGGCGAGAGCCCTCTGTGCTCTGGTGCTCTTCAAACCAACGGCGACGACGTGTCTGTGATGACAACATGCACAACTATAATCCAGCAGGCTAACCTTGAGGGCGTCTCTGAAGGCAACGCCCATGATGCCACTACAAACGATGAATGTATCGTCATCGGCGGACGAAACTGCACATCCAACCCATCCACGCATCTCAGCAGTGGAAACTCGAGTACCACTGAAGACGAATGTCCTTCTCGAAGCGAAAGCGACAACACATCAGATTGTTATGGAGCCACAATGGCACGTTACGAGCTTCTTAAGTCTCAAAGAGAGTACTTTGTTGATCTACAGAAAGACATCACTCGACAGATAGAGGAGACTAAGCTGCAGCGCATTGATCTACGGACCTACATTACTATATAGGAAAAGAATGTTCGACCGGAAGAGAATGCTCAACAGAAGGAGACTGCTCGACAGGAGGATAATGTTCTACAGACCGAGAACCCTGGGCAGGAACACACAAACAACAACGATCTCACGAGTAAATCGTCGTCAAAGTACTCATTGAGATCTGTCTTGAGTATGTTGATGGGGAGCGACAAGTCTGATGAAGAACCAAAACCCAATGGTGATGGAATCAGAAAGTTGAACCACAAGAGTCGACTGCCTCCTCGATGGAGAACATTCCTGGTCTGGACGTCCAAGTCTGAGTCTTCTGCCAAGAGCAATCCCCAATCCTCCTCGCAGAATATCAGCCAGAGTGATGCGCAACTTGCCAATCAAATTGCCGAGTAAGTATTCTTTACAGATATATTTGAGGTGATTGAAAACTGACAACAGTCTTACAGACAGGATCGAACATTCAAGGGCCTTGATTGGAAGCTTCCAGCTGCGAAAAATGAAATGGGCCAGCTTATTCGAGAGTTCTCTGGCGACCTTAACACTACCACGCAGGAAATGGGTTGTAGGGCCCCTGTATCCCCAAGGACTCCAAGTCTCCATTCATACCCGTCCAAGTTTGATGTTTCGATGGATCAAAATCTCCCCCCTCGGCCTGCAATGACCCCGGTCCCATATCCTGACAACCAAGACCATAACCAACAAATGCGCGATGAGTCCACTAGCCGAGACGCTCTGGTTGCGAAGCAAGTTCACATGGAAAACAAGCAGGCGCAGCTTGTTGAGATCGAGACTCGATCTAACCAAACCATGAACCAAGATGCTCGTGGTAACGCCAAACAGAATCAAGTTCCGCAAGAAACAGTTGAGCGTGATACCACGAATGGTAAGTTGCTACAAAGGCGAGTCTTTGTTTTTTCCCGTACAAACTAACAGCTACTAGACGTCCACCCACCCCGGACCTGGCAGCACGGAGGTGACCCTACAGAGGTCGAGACTGTCGAAGAGGTAAGTTTGCTGTGGTATTGGCTAGGACATAACCGAGATCAGACTTCTGACTGCCAACTATAGGCATATGCCCGCCACCGAAGCTCTCTTGCAGTTGTTGATCGAATTCGTAGCATAGGGCTGCTTGGACCAAATGCATATGGAACGGAATCGATCGCCGCAGACGAACCCAAAGAGTTGGACGAACAGCGATTGCTCCGAGAGATGACCGAAGACTTTGAGCTTCCACCCAATCGGGTCGTCTCCAACGAATCTTCAACCGCTGCGACAAACAACTCGCAAGTCATCCCGAGTATCGAGCATCAGGATACCAATCTTGGATGCGAGGGGCAGAAGACCCCAGAACCAAATGCTGAGCAAAACGACGATGCCAGCAACCAAACCGAGTTGATCCTGACAAGAGCAAGAAGCTCGGACAGATTCGTACCTGAGGGGCTCTACTACCAAGACTCGGTGGACGGTGACTAGTATTACGCCGCCACTGATGACATGGGATCCGACGTACGAGGATTTGAGGGGGATGAAGAAGAAATCCCGGAGGACTTTACTCCGGGACAGCCAGCCACGGAGGCTTTGATCAAGGAGCTCCGGATAGAGAGACTCGGCGGATTCTTCACAACCCTTGAGAACGTCCGGAGCGAAAGCCCCGAGAGATTGATCGGTAAGTCGGCACATGCTTCTCTGTCTCATAGACTTACTAAGTGCGTAGCTGCCCGCGATCCTAAAGCTGTGTTCACTTGGAGAGATGAAATCGCCGAGTTGACCTCGAACGGCGGCGGGATGATTCGTGACGGCAGAGCAGAACAGCTGTACGAACAAGCTCTCTCAACTAAAGGGAGTGACGGAGAATTGTCTGCCATGGCTTACAAGCCAAGTCGAGTAAGCACATATCCTTTTGTGTCTTTCGGTCTCTCAGCCTTTGATGCTAATATGAAACTCCAGGCTGAGGTTGAAGCAGCTCTCGGGCACCCAGAAGCGCCCGTCATTCAGGGTTGTCAGCCACAAGAGTTTTTCACCGAGTGCGAGCGTATCAAGGAATCTATTCACATAGATTCCCTGGCAAAGGACAAATACATCGCCCAAATGCAACCGGCTATGTCCCGAAACGAAATCATCTTCGCTGAGTGGGATCGAGCGGATGCAGTAGCCTGCATGCACAAGCACAACCAGCAGCAGAGGCTCAAGGAACAAGAGCAAGAGAGCGAAGAAGCCGCTCGTCGCCGACGTCTCAAGATCTACCGAGCTGTCGAAAGAAATATTATCGAGGGCCGGCGCCTTGCGGTCAAAATCAATCGCGAGGCGACCGCCGCCTTTCAGATGTGCGAGTACTTGGACGAAGACTACGAGAGGATGAGGGAGCAAATCCTCCAATGTGCCGAAGAATGTGGCCATGAGCCCACTGACAACCTGCAACATGCCGTCGAGCTCATCCGAAAAACGCAGCAGGAAGAACAAATCACCTACCGCAAGTATGAGGGCTTCGAGTCTGCTGATGTTGAGAGTCCCGAATCCGAGATGGCTGCTCGCTATGGTCGCGATTATCAAGACATCGCTGGTAACCATGTCGACATGACGGTTGATCCAACCAACGAGTTCTTTTGATCGCTCATCTACAGAAATGTGAGACGATGAAGCGTGAAAAATCCGGAAATCGAAAAAAAAAGAGAAAAATATGGACAAAAAATATGAACAAAAAAAAAAGAATCTACTGCAGAGAGAACTGCAAAACCCATCTGACAGGAATACCCCCTGTTTACCTGAGGAACTTTTAAACTACTTGCTCACCTTACTTACCACGACATCTCCGAAAGTCACACGGCATCTCGATAGCTGGCTCTACGTTGGAACCAACATTTAACAACCTTACTACATAAACCACTTGGTGCAGCTGTATAGCGCCCACAGATGCCTAGCTATCTCCCCTTGTACCTATTGTCTTCGTCACGAAGTGCAAGACTACTATCATGATGATACATACTATGATACCCATGATGGGCATACGCCTAAACACGACTCGACGCAGCGATGAGCGCGCGCCATTGGCTTTGCCGTTTGTTTGCTTTTATACTTGCTTTACACTTTGCGATGTTTGTCTACGAGACTGACCTACGATGATATGGACCAAACGCTCCATTCACTTGCAAAGAGTCGAGACAACCCTATCAATTAATCTCGTGCGAAGCTTTTCTTCTACCGTCTACGATAATGAGATGAGAGGGTACTGAGTGCCTCAGAACCTTAGAAGAGTCCTACTGGATACCGAGTACCGATGCAAGGATGAAGATGAGGATTGCTTGTTTGATTTGTTGATTTTCTTTTTTGGAACCGTCTGACTGTTGGTCAATGATTGCTGCCCTTAGCTGAAGAAGCCAGATCAAGATTGTTAAGCCGGCTTTGGTACAGATTGTTAGACTCTGGATTTGAGAGGATGTCTTGGTGAAGAGTAGATACCAGACAGAGCCAGACAGATTAAGATCAGACAGTGAAGATTGATGCGTTGAAAATATTGCTCCTTGTTCAAGTGACGTATGTGAAATCAATATGCTTAGTTATATCATCACCAACGATCCTTCATGATTATTTGCCTTGAGATCTTGTATTACTTGGTCATTAAATTCGTTATCCGCAGGGTATCCATAAACAAACAGCCTTTCAAAGCTCCCATCACGCCCCCTCGTGCTTCACTGTAGTATCGCCCTCTTCTTCATGATGCTCCGTCTGGTCAGCTTGTTCCGTCTCGCCTTCAGCCTTGCCATCTTTGTCCATGACGTTCTCGAACTGCGACCATAGTGCCTCGACCGAGGAGAATTCGTTGCCGACCTGTGCATCCATCTCTATTAGCTTGGGAATGTTCAAGGAGACTGCTATCCATACAGCGGTGACTGCCTCGAGAGATCGGTTTAGCTTGTTGATGTTGGCCAAGACGTGCTCAAAGCTCTTGACAGCGTAATGTTAGCACATATGCTATTGACTACATATGGGGAGGCATGACGTGCCATTGCGATCTCGCCAATCAGAGCCTCGCGCTGCTGCTCAAAGTACGTCTTTTCGTGACCGCCCATCGCGGATGCTGACCTTGAATGGGAGGCCATAGCGAATGTATTTATGTGTGTGTTTTCAAGGCTGTGGAAGGTTGTCGTTGGTTTGAACGCGTTGGCCCGGTGTGAGGAAGTTTTGGCGGGGTTGTTTACTTTAGTTACTTTACAGTGGGTAATGTACCTGTCACTCTAATTATGGTAGTGGGGTTTCGGCTCATTAAGCTCTTGAGCGTCTCACGACATGGACACTTGGACGAAACAGCAGAGTAATGAGTCAGTAGAAAGAATGATAAGAGGTCAAGTTTGCTTACATTATCAACTCCGCTTATCCAATTAATAAAATCAGTCACTGTGTAGGTATATAATTTACATAGAATTCAGACCCGCTCATGCTGCATAGCCTATCGCCTCAGTTGCGCCAAACCCGTGATGGTACTCCTAGAATACGAAGCCTACCTGACTTCCATTGTTCTACCTCCTATAGTGATCTGGAGGAGGCCTTTCGTAGTCATGTGGTCTCAGCCCTCCCCTCGCCATTTCTCTTGGATCTCTTGGATCTCTCGGATCCCCCCTTGGATCAACTCGAGGATCCCCTCGTGGATCCCCTCGTGGATCTCTTGGATCATGACCGGGATAAATCGGTGCTCCTGGCGGAGGCTGGGGTGGCCCGCGAGAGTCGTAGCTGCTGATGGGCGTGTAGCTACGGCCAGGAATCTCTCGAGGTGGGCCAGGCCCAGGAGTAGAGGCATACCGTGGGTATGGTTGCGGAGGTGGCACTGACTCTGGGCCACGCGACACTGTTGGTGGATATCGTCCTTGCATCTGATGCTGCTGCGGCGGCATGCCAGGTCCACCCGCAAAGTAAGAATTACGCCCATCGTCTCTCATGGACATATGGTGAGCTTGCTGAGGCGGAGGCTGTGAGGGTGGTTGTGATGGTGCCCAAGATGGCGCTGGGGTTTGAGGCTTAGACGAGGGGTGTTGCGTAGGCCACGGTTGTTGCTGTTGTTGCTGCGGTGGGGGTTGAGAATTTGGTGGCTGTTGAGATGCCCATCCAGGCGGCTGCTGCATGCTGGAAGGAGGTTGTTGAGGCGGCGGCCATGAAGCCTCACGGCCACCCTGGGTTACTTCTCGTGCCCGAGAGGCCGATGGATGAAGCGCGTATTGCCCTCCTGGCGATCCGGCATGGGTTGGTTGACCCGTTGCAGCGTATGAAGTCGGATAACCCTGGTTCTGGTACTGAGGAGGTCCAGGAGGAGCATATCGGTGGCCACTTTGTGGCGAGTTCGTTCGGCTGTGGCTACTGGGCTGGTAAGGATTCTGCCTATAGTAGTCCCTTTCTGCTGCTGCTTCTAGGGAGACCCCGATGGACGCCCTCGAACTGCCCATGTGCTGAGGCTGAGGGGAATCCGCATATGTTGGCTTGAGGGATGGCATTACTGGGGTTCCTCGACCATAAGGAGAGTAAGACTCTGCCTCGCCCCGTCGCATCTGAGAAGGCGGTGCTGGGCCTGGGAGCGTACGGCCCATGGCCTGGGGCGGGGGAGTAGGTGATGGCCTGGTAGGAGTGCTAGTCACATCACTGACACGTTTGGGTTGTGGAGGAGGATCGGCGTTAAGCAATGACATGATGTTGAGACCTCCCTTACGAGGCTCTGCTGGACGTGGCGCCACTGCCGGTGGTTGAACTGGAGTACCAGTTTGGGGTGTTACCGAGCCATATTGTTCGTGCATCGAACCAGATGACGGCCTGTGCTGGAGAGCAGACATGGGGCGGCTTGATGGAGTGTTCATCTGAGGTGACCGAACAGGGGTTTGCTCGCCCATTAGGTTCCGCACCGGTTGCACAGGAGCTTGTTGCTGCAAAGGAGGAGCATAAGATGGAGGGCGTCCAGGCTCTTGTGGCAGCCTTGCCAGCGGCTGGCCCCCAAGACTTCCTTGTTGACGATGCCCAAACGGTTCGTAGCGATGCGGCTGTGGGGTCACTTCAGGCTCCTGCTTGACCCGTCTTTCTGACTGTCGAGCCAATTCAAGCTGTTCCTGTTCGATCCGCTGCATTTCCATCTTTTGACGTTCCATTTGAGCATTGTGTTCGATCATAGCTTCACTCCGGGCTGGCTGTAGAGGCTGCGCGGCAGCCAGAGGCCGCTGCTCCCGTGGTTCCGAACCGGGAGGTCTTGAGGAAGCCTTCTGCGGAAGAGGTACCCGGACACTTTGCTCACGTTCTCGCTCTCGCTCTCGCTCTCGCTCTCGATCGCCGTCAGGAAATCCGAACTGCCGTACAGGTGCTCTCAAAGGCCTTGGACCTGGGGACATAGTCTGAGTTACTGGCTGGGTGGTTGAATGTTGTCCAATAGACATGGGTTGCTGTTGAGGTTGGACAAGCGGTTGCTGCGTAATAGGCGCTTGGGTGATGGGGCTGCCATACATGCTAAAAGGTTGGCCACGAGGGGGTTGAACTGACGGCTCCATCTTGGGCTGTGACGTCTCTCCGTGCAGGTCGATACCTGGGGCAACAGCTAACGGCCGAGAAGCTGCGGCTGAACTGTCATATCTCCGCCCTCGCCCTCCTGTTGATGGTTGTGGGGGATCGGGCAACTTGTCGCCTATAGCTCTCTTCCTGTCAGCTTCCTGGACAAGCACCTCCCACTCGGCCTTGCCCTGGTCCTTCTGACGGACGAAGTAATTTTTCACCTGTCGAGCGCATTAGAAGTGGACCTACGTGAAATAGTCAGAACTTACCATGACTGCGGTTTTAGAACCCATATGGGCTGCAATCCCTGTCCAATCCGAGCCGAACGAGCGCAGGAGGAGCGGGAAGTCATTAGATTCAGACACGCTCCAGTAGCTAGATGCCTGAGTAGGCGCCTTGCGCTCCGACGGCGGGTGGGCTAGGTTGAATGTAGCCATTGCAGGCTGAGGCGGTGGGTCAGGCCGAAGTGAAGGTGCTGCCATGACTTCGGAGATGGAGGATGGAGCAACTGACTGCTGTCGTTCGAGGGTTTGGATAGGTTGTTGGGGTTGTTGGGGCTGTTGTTGCTGCTGCTGTACGGAGAAAGGGAGCTGCATACCAGCGGGGTGCTGCTCGAACTGACCTGGGAGACGATGGGATTCGGCGGCTGGGAGTGGAGTTGAAGGGCCATCGGTATTGAGCGCTCTGGAGTTTGACCTCGATCGTCCCTTGCCAGGCCCAGGGGCTGCGGCCAATGTTTGGTTCGCTTTGGCTGCCTTGGGCTCCTTTTCTTTTGGGCCTCTTCGCCTCTTTCTCCCATCCACTTTCTCGGGATGGTCGACCTTCGCGGACCCGCCACGTCTACCCGGTGTCGCATTGGGTGTTGAGTTCTCTGTGTCAACTGGAGGCTGTTCGAAGCCCCATGTAGGTGCCGCCGCTCGTCGTGGTCGTCGCCTCTCGCCATTTTCTCCTGTATCGTGGTTCTCTTCCGTTTCTCCGTCTCCGTTGCCAAGTTCCGACACCAATGCACTAGATCGTTGCTTCGCTTTGCCCTTTCTGCGCCTCTTAGGCTGCTTCTTGAGTTTCTCCTTCAGATTAAGGTTCTTCTTGTT